TGCGACTGCGGGCTGTTGCTTGTAATAAATTTGCTTCAAACATGCAATGCCCGTGGGACAAATGCCGACAACTCCCTCACATCCGCACTCCCTTACACTCTCTGGCTCTGTTTCCATTTCACTGGCTGGCTAGTTGTCTGGCTTTTGTTCTAGCCAACGCTGATGATGTCGGTTTGCCGTGCAAAGCCACAAATTGCCACTTGGCTGCCCGCTCGTGCCAATCTGTCGTTATGTTGGTTGCTATTGCTGTTGCTCTATCTATTCCATGTTGTCCTTGCTTTTGTTGTTTGAATAAATCTAAAGAAATAGCATTTAATGTCTATTTGCAGCAGATTAAGATAAAAAGCATTGCATGCTTGCGACTCCACACGTTGCTCCTCTCGACTCACTAGGGATAGGTATGGGGATTGGGACTGGCGCTTGTGCGGGATGCAGGCAGCAGTCCTGCAGTTCTGCAGCAGTTTGACCGTTCGTGCAGCTTGTCGATTTTGGGCCTCATTGTCTTATTGGTTGAGTAACGTCTTTCAAATGACACTCTCGTAACTGCCACAAACAAGTGAGACAATCAACACTTGATAAAACAAACACTTCTAAATTAATTAAATTGCCAATATTCTTGAAGCAGCAGCATCATTGTCTAAGCAATAGCTGCACTTCTGGCACCCAACCAATCCTTATCACACACTAATACTCACACGGATGCTCTATATATATATGTGTGTAGTTGCCAACGCACTCCTCAATAGTACCAAAGATAATCCTGGCCATCAATAAAGCAAACAGATCTTGGTGCTTCAGTACATCAGCTTTCGCCTTGTTTGCTTTGCTCCGACTCCAACTCCTCTCCCTTTTCTATCCGTGTGTTTTTCCTTTTTCTTTTGCGTATGTATGCAGTTTGCATTTGTTTTTGGCCGTTGGCTGAACAATTTGGATAAAGATTTCTCAAATTGAGTTGATATTGGCTTAAACTTTCAAATTAAATTAAGTACTTTTGATGACAAGCAGTTTGGGTGAAGAAGTTCAATGCGCCTTCGCATAAATTAATAAATATCCAAATTCTGTTACTAGAAACAATGCAAAGGTTAACACTTAATTTTGAGCCTAAAATGCCATCAATTAGAGTAGACAATCGGAACATTTGTTTCATTTCACTAAACGAAGACTTGCAGTTACGCCCTTTATTATTATATTGCCATGAATTAAACTGTACGCACATAAATTATGGTCGCGTGTTAATTTTTCAAGTGGTTAATGAGCGGAAGTGGTCATAATCGTTATATGTTTCAAGTTGTATGTGTAGCATTAATTAATTGCAGTGTACGGGTGTATGTGGCCATATGCGTTTGATGCAGGCGTGTGTGGGCGTGGCCTCGTCAGGTGTGTGCCTCTTGAACTGTACTATTAATTACAATTAGCCAGCGAAGCGGGGGTGTTAATTTGTAAAAGTGAAGCTGCTGTTTTCCGTTGATATGTTCAAAGCCAACAATTAATTTATGGGCCAGCTGTTAAGTCCTGCACTTCGTGTGACATATTGCAACAAAGTTAAGTATGCAGATTTGATTTTTATATGTCATTCATACGTAAAGCAATTAAGTCTATGAACTCTTCGCACATTTCACAGTTCACACAAGTATGGAATATGGCTTATTGCAACAAAGATGTGCGCCTTGCAACAAGAAAACGCATTCAGGCGGCAGCACATTATGTGAACATAAAATTATATATTTTCTAGCAGTTACTATCACGGGCCAAGCGGGTTTTCTTCGAAGATTTTTAAAAGTTTGTTTAGTTATCCTAGAAACATAGTTTGTTTTTGTTTTCCACGTCTATAAACAATCTAAGGCGTGCACGTGACTCTGAATAAATAATCATTAAGCAAACATGCGTCAGAGAGCAAGCACTGCTTAAATTAACCATGGCTCATAAGTGTATTTAAATCAAGATTTTAGTTAATGAAAATGACAATTAGAGATCAAGTGAGTAGGTGAGTAAAATTTTATGAGTCTAGTTGTATCCAGTCAATGAGATTCAACCAGTGCAACACTGTTTATAAACCTTGCACAGCAGTTGCACTTGCACCATTCATTTAACAATGATTATTTTTTAGTGTCACTTAATATTTGTATTAATTTATTACTGCAGGATGAGAAACATTTCTCCAGATTCTTGATCTAATGAATTAACTAATAACTCAAGAATAATACGTTGGACTTCAATTGGCCTTAATCAATTCAAAATTAAGGTATTACCAATATGGTAATATTTTTAAATGCTCGTCTTAGGCAAGTTATTCAGTAGCGAACAGCTAAGTAACTAATGAAGAACTCTTTATTGTCGGAACACACACATCTGTACATCGGAGTGAATACTCATTAGTATTCGTGGCTGTCAAATGTATTTACTGTTAAAAATCTGTATTTTAAATTGAAATTTGTATTTTTGATGTGCGTTGATTTCGTTAAGCACTATGACAAAAGTTAAATATCATTTTATGACATTGGGAGCAGCCTGCTGTCTACGTACGTAGTTGGTTGGTCTGCTGGACTGCTCTGGCCTGAAAGAGATGAAGTGACGTAAATTAAATTAGTGTCAAAAGAGCATTGTGAGCGAGTGTGGGTGAGTGTCTGTGCGTGCCTGACACGGCCGGCAAACATAATGACCACCGGCAAAGGCAACACGGCAGGCACGGCAGGCACGACGGGTGCACGAGTTGCACGGTACAAGGGTGCACGGTGCAAGGGTGCAAAATAAAAATTGTATGCAAATTATGCTTGACATTGTTTCAACATACTTTTTGGCGGGCCAAGACAAAAGCTGACATTTAGCCCAAGGAAAAACAGAGACAGGCGCACCCCACACTCCGAGCGTGAGTCGGTGTGAGCGTTGTGTGTGTGTGTGTGCAGCCGGATGAAACTTTGTGACATTTTTGGCTCGGCGGAAACGTGCAAAACTGGCAAATTTATAATGAGACGCTGGTTCAGCGCCATTCCGCTGCCAACGGCATTTTCGTTTGGTTTGCTAAGCACTAAGCGCATTTGTCGCTCGTTTCTGGGCTTCAAAAGGTTTCGAAGCGTCAAAATGTGTTTAGCTGGCGCAGCTTGTGGCTAATACCTGAAAATGCTTTTAGAGTTTCATATTTTGATTTATTGATTATCACATACACACACAAACCTACATTGGTAGCTTATTGCAAAAGCATTTGCATTTCGCACATGCCATGACTGAACACACAAGTTGATGTATGGGACTCAAACCTGTTACTACATACTACTCCACTGCTCTGGCATCAACTCCGCAACCGTCTTTGACTGGTATGGGTCCTGGGACTGGAGGCCAGGCAGCGTCGGTTCTACCCTGCTGACGTCAATTTATTAAATTATTGATATATTAAATTTAAATTCGCGCACAGGACATTTGCGCGAGACTTTGTACGTATTGTTTTCATCTCTTTCTGCGTTGAAATTGATTTTCATGCACAATAAATGCATTTCCGCGCTTCATGTCAGAATGCACAATCTTTAAACAATAAGTCAGATAAAAGCGTCCAATTACATAATGAGATAGTATTTATACTCAATTCAATTGAACAATAATTTGATTTTAGTTTAATAACCACACGAAATTCTCGTTTCAAAAATTTAAAAAATTGTATATTTGAATAGTTGCTGGGTATCAAATTCAGCCAAATAATAATTGAAAATAGAGTCTATAATCAAATATAGGTGCTATCAGTTCGCTTGATATAAGATCTATTGATTAAAATACTGTATATAATCTCAAATAATGTTGATAAGGTAACTATTTACCAAAAACAACATTTTTTTGGACATGGCTACAAAAAAGTCTCTAATGTGTTAGATATAATAACTAATGTATTGGGATAGGTTAAACCAAAACATATAAACAACTAATGTATAATTCGCACAGTCACTGATAGAGCAAATACCTACCGGATCGAGCATGTCTAATGTTGTGATCAACGCTAGATTAGTTTCAGTCATTATGAGAATACCTAGATACCCCTTTCACCACATAGTTAAATTAGGCACCCCTATTATAAAATTAATTGAGGTCATATTCATAATATGTTTACAAAAAAAATAATAATAATACAAATAAATAATAAAAATTAATTAAGGTAACTTAAAATGTATTTGAGATAATATTGTTCTTGAAATAACTACAGATATACAAAACAAATAGATATTTAATCAAACAAAAAATACCGAGATTGTTGTTTTGTCATGTGAACAAAATGTTGCCTACAGGCATACAATGATATTTATATGCAGAATGGAAATCATTCTTGTGTAGAAGTCTCTTATCAATAAAATTTGTGTTTCCTTGTCATGACAAGCATACTCCGAACATTTTTCATCACCAAACACTTGTATACCCCTTATTTATTTTGAGTAATTTGTTCTGGCGAACAACTACCAATACTTTTGTTTTGTTATTCAGTGCCACAAGACAAAAATTATCATCGTTGAAATTGTTAAAATGTTGAGGCCGAAATTGAAAAGATATATAATTATATATATAATTCATATCAGAAAAGTTGGAGTTTATAAAGAGAATGAATTAAATATGTACTAATTAAGTACATCATATAAGATAAATTATTTAATAGAGGTATCAAGTAGTCGATGAGTTTCTACTTAAAGACTTTAGCTTTTTACAGTTGTCATTCTTAAAAAAAAATAGATGCATGCTTTGTCATTGTGAATTATAACAAAATTCAGATTACCTATACGTGAGCGTTTTACAGTTATCACTCTTATAAGCAAAATGAATACATATTTGTGCATTGTCATTATGAATTATACAAAAGTTCTGTTTGGGATAGGTTATCCCGTACCAAAACAAACAACGCACTTAAAGCGATAAGAAGTATAATCAAAACATCCAGAATCATGCTCGCGTGTGTTGGCAGACTGCGATAAGACGACAACATTTGACGTACGACTATAAAGTTGTCTAAACATTTAGCTAGTTAGTTTCAAATTAAATCGATTGGCGTTCACTTCATATTCGCAATGATTGTGATACTGCTTTTGCTTGCGTCAGCCGCGCTGCTGTACATCTACCTGAAGAGGACCTTCAGTTTCTGGGAGCGGAAGGGTTTCCCCTATATTGAGGGAAAGATACCCTTTGGCGCCATGGATTCGGTGCGTCAGAAAAAACGATCCTTCGGCTTGGCCATCTATGACATGTATCTGGCCAGCACTAAACCCTTCGTGGGCATCTATCTCACCTTAAGGCCAGCGCTGCTGGTGCGCGATGCACAAATGGCCCATGATATCCTGACCACGGATTTTGGCCATTTTCACGATCGTGGAGTTTACGTGGATGAGAAACACGATCCCTTATCTGCGGATCTGTTCTCCATGGAAGGCAGCAGCTGGAGGACTATGCGCACAAAGCTCTCGCCTTCGTTTACATCGGGCAAGCTGAAGGGCATGTTTGGTACTGCGGAGGACGTCGCGGACAAGATGATGGGCCATTTGAATGGCCAAATGCAGCGGTCAGGCACTGTAGAAGTCGATATGAAGAATTTGATGTCATCGTAAGCAATTTTTGAAAATACACACATTTACTGGATATATATGTATTTTCCCGCCTTGAACTGTTTTTTCAGCTATGCTATTGATATTATTGCCTCGACGATATTTGGCCTAGATGTGGACAGTTTTTCGAATCCTGACAATGAAATGCGTCGTATAAGTGGGGAGGTTATGAAACCGACTGCAAAGAATCTTTTGCGTGGAACAACATCCTTTTTATATCCCAAGTAAGCCAAGAACAATGCGTTCCCTATGTACAACAGTTTTATCCTTCTCTTTTTCTGTTAGGGTTGAGAAGATTTTCAATCGCCTGGGCTGGCATATTGATGGCCGGAGAGGTATGCGAGATCTGGTGTATCACACAATTTCACTTAGAGAGAAGAACAACATTGAGCGTCGTGACCTAATGCAACTATTGCTGCAGCTCCGCAACACCGGACAAATCAGCAACGATGATGCCGTCTGGTCGAGTCAAGCAGCAGCACATGGCATCAAGTCCCTGTCAAAGGATAACATTGCTGCACAGATGTTTCTATTCTTTATTGCCGGCTATGAAACGACTGCATCAACGGCCGCATTCACTCTATACGAGTTGTCACAGAACCCGGATGTGCTGGCCAAACTGATGGATGATATCAATCAGACACTTGCTAAGCACAATGGAGAGCTTAACTATGAAAGCATACAGGACATGAAGTATCTGGAATTGTGCGTTATGGGTAAGTCTCAGCTGGATCTTAAAGTTGTCGTGACGTTGATTTCCTTCATTTATTGTGCTTTACAGAAACCACTCGCAAATACCCAGGTCTACCGTTGCTGAACCGCATGTGCAACAAGGACTATCCGTTGCCAAACAGCAAGTTAGTGCTTGAAAAGGGCACAGAAATAATTATATCGTTACTTGGCCTTCATCGTGATCCCGAATATTTTCCGGATCCACTCAAATATCAGCCGGAACGCTTCACGGAGGAGCACAAAAACTATACCCCTGCGGCCTATATGCCTTTCGGGGTTGGGCCGCGTCAGTGCATTGGTAAGCAGGTTATTAACTCACAGCTCCCAATTCTGAATCTAATTTTATCGAATTCTTTTCAGCGGCCAGAATGGGCAAGATTAATGTGAAGATTGCATTGACCAAAATACTGACCAATTATACGATTGAGACGCGAAGTGAGGTGACCGAGATTGAGTTTACCGTTAACGGAGTAGGTCTGCTTGCAAAGGGCGGTGTTCCCGTTAAGCTATCTAAGAAGTTGAAGCTCACCAACGTACAATGAACATCCCTATAGAACTGTGGCCAATCGAATCTATAAGCTCTCGATCCAGAGCGTCAATTCACCAGTTCAGATGGTTATATGTTTTCTCTAGCTTGGCAGACGAAAGGAGCATAGCAACTGTTGTACATGGGTTATCTACCCATTAGATATAATCATATTGATAATATAATAATGAACTAATTTGTCATAAACAAAAATACTGAAGCTAATTTTAGAACCCTTTAAACTTTATCACAACGCAAGCTCGCCACAAATGTGAAGACAGAGATAAATTTAAGTGAGTATAGTTGTTTCATAGGGTACTTAATACCTGTTAATAGGCAGATCACTCTGACTGATTAATTCACCAAACGTTTTATACAAAATCGAATTTCTCCAATCACCAAGCGGTGAAAGTTTATTCATTAATAGGTCGCCCTGTTTATAGTTAAATAGAAACTGAGATTCTATTAAGTTCTTTCGACGTTTGCCTATTAGTCGTAGCAGCTATGTGTAAGCATCATGTAATCAGTTTTCACTTGAGTAATGCCTGTTGGTGCCAAAATGGGATTGGCAAAGGGGTATGTAGTTGAGGCTGGGAAGAGGCTACTGCACAAGCCGTTGACAAGTTCACTAACTTTTAATGCCGCTCAATTAAAAGTTGATGGTGGCTGCAGCAGCCGTCTGCCAAGTAGGCTGTATTGCTCCCAAAAGACCATGTTCGTCTTATTAAAAACTTTGTGCACCAAATGCAAAATGTTCATACAAAAGATATGCTTAATATACACATATTGTTTGACTTCAGTCTACTCAGTTGTGCAACTATGAGTATTTTTCAACAAGTGCTTTTCGTATTTAATTGAGCACTGCAACACAGACTACAAACTTTATTGTTGCCACTGAGTTTCTCTCAAATATTATGGGATTGAAATCATGTACTTGGGATTAACTGATTTTATTCTTAAGATTGCTGGCTTTATTTTATTTCATCAAGAGAATATTTACAATTCGAAATCATAGAAAAATATTAAGCAAGTCTCGAGCAGCACCCAATTGTCTGCTTACTGAACCACATAATGTCCAGAAACTGTTTTCGTTTCGTCCATTCCAAACAACATTAATGTCTGACACATGCAAACAGTAACTCAGACGGCAGAGGGAGCCGAGTTGGTCTGAGGTTGGTCCTACTCGACGTGAGGCAGTTGCCATCGCATATGAGCACCGTCAAGTGCGCACAGCTCTAGCAGTTGAGGGCTGGGGTCTGAGGTAAGCGGAGTGTACAGCAAGCAGTCAGTTGCCAGCCACTTGGACACATGTAATAATTCAATTGTGTGAACATCTATTAAGGAAGATTGATGACAAGCAGCGAGAATGGAAGCCCGGACACTTCTGAACGAGTCGCCTCTCTCCTCTAGCTGGTCAGTGAGTGTGTGTGTGTGTGTGTATGTGTTTGTGTTTGTGTCATCTGAATAAAATACTGGGACAATAAATGAAAAAGAGCACAGTCGACAAGGGAGCAACTGCATCAAGTGGTTCCATCAGTGATTCCTTTTGACAACTTCACGCTTCATACGAGATGTATGTAAATTGTATTCGTGGCTACTGAACGATTCTAATTGCTTAAAATGAATATAAAATCCAAGAAAGTATGATTATTTAATGAATTAAATTTATGTTAAATTTAAACTATTATCATCTTAAATTGTGAATGTGTCAAACAATAATACATCTTTGTTAGTACAAATTCTTTTTTATGAATGTACCTACGTTTATTATAGCTTTTATTGTATTCCTAAATAAAGAGAAAACAGAGCAATGTTCAAGAAGTAGCTAAATACGATAGTTCAGAGCAATCCAAAACCAGAAGCAAGCTAGCTTACAGGATTTTTGACTCGAAATATATTGCAGCTGTATATTAAAGCTGCTCGGCAGCATGGTTGACACATTGACATGTCACTCATTCTGAACAAAGTTGAGTTGACATTGAAATTAAGTTAAATAGTCGATACTTTAAAGTTTAGATCGCACGTTTTTGTTGCGACCTCTATTTCAATACGCCTGAGTGCCTCTTCGCTTGCTCCAGAAAGAGTGCGATAACTGGAAACAAGCTGACATTTATGCAGTTTGCACAACCAGCCCAGCAACCAACCAGGCAACTACTCAAGCACATCAGTACGCTCACAGCGCACATATTTTTCTGTTGCAGCAGCAGCGATACAGACTGCGAAGGGGCTAGGGAAAGGGGGGACGCGGGCAAAGCCAATACAAGCAACTAACGAGCTTATTTCCAGACAGTAGGCAGCGCAGTAGCTGCGCCAGTCGGTGCTGGAGCTGGAGCTGGAGCTAGAGCTGGATGTGGAGCTGAAGCCTGGCGGCGACATCACATGCATGATTGACTGCGCAGTTGTGCAGCGCTTCGCCCTGCTAGAGATATAGAGACAGAGAAATAGAGATAGAGAAAGTGAAATAAAGGGACTTTCGATAGACTTGCTGAGTATGGGACGGGGCACAGGTGTCGCAATTGATTGTCATAAACTTGTACCACATGTCTTCAGCTGCGACCGACTTCATTTGTAAGTTGTTAAAGATTTTGCAGAGTCGACCAAATAAAGGGGTAACTACAAAAGGACACTTGAACTTACGTCAACTGAGCGAATATGATTTAATTATAGTCACTATGGCAAGCATGGCGTATACGCAACGGCAACAACGCTCTTCAGGGCTGCTCAGTGGTTAATGAAGAGCTCTGCAGAAACTGGTAACAAGATTACATTAAGTTCCAGTTGTGCAAGTCGAAAGCATAATGCGATAAGAAGTAAACAAATATTACACTTGCCTACTAATGAAACGCTGACTTTTACTTAAACATAAAAGAGAGAAATTTTGAGAATATCCTGCATAGTACAACAATATGATATGCTTAAATAATGTATTGTGAAGCTATGGTAAAGTAATTGACGTTGCTGTTGCAACCGTTTGTTAACTGCTCAATTGCAAATAAGTCATAATGAATTTAATCCAAGAACTATACTCAATTAAAACGGATTGCACTTACGAGTATCGAAGACAATAGAGTCACAAGCATATAATACTATGACAGTCGTTGACTTGTATGTGAACTTGATTATGGCTAAAGTTATTGGCTGTGGTTTATTGCAACTAGCACGCACAGCAGATACACACGCATACACACAACCAGAGATAGAACAAAGGCAACAATTAAAACATGCAATTAACAGACCATCAAAATGAGTATTTTGTTGTGTGTGTGCCTTGTCTGATGTCTGCTCTTTTCTGTCTGCTTTGTGTTGTCTGTCGTTTGTCGTTTGTCGTTTTATGTTTGGCTTGTAAAAACCAATGCGAAAACACAACGATAGCAAACAAGAAAAACCAATAAAATGAACTTGTCATAAAATTAACGCATTTATAAGACAAACATTGCCAGATTAACAAACGCCAACAGAAGCAGCAGCAACAGCATCGATGACTATGATGACAACAACTCGCTGACAGTGTTAACAATGGTTGGTATTTCCAGGAAAACTGTGTCACATCGAACTAAAGCGATTTATAGGCCATCTTTGTTTGCACTCGTACGAGATGCTGCGGACGAGATGCGTGCGAAATAACTGTCACTTAATTTACGCAACACCCTTCCCAGCCGAGGTACTCCATCTCCTTCAGAGCAGACAAATATGCTGGCAACACTGAACTGCTGCATAAACTGCTGTTTATGACAGACGTCGCAACAAAGTCGATCGCGAAAGCGTGATGCGAACAATCGTTAAATAAAAATTTGCACACGATTTGCACAGAATGTCTTTCTTTGGAGTCATGCTTTAGGTGGTCACTTGAGCTATGCCGTGCCATTTGTCATCCAGCCAGAGTCATGGCATATTTAACTGACTTTATTGTCAAATTTATAATGCAAATTTACTCGAGCTTTCATTTTTAAATTCATTAATCCATATATATAATTTTATAAAGTATATAACAAGTCAAGCACAAAATGAAAATGGATTCGGTTAAATGAAAAATAATTATATAAAAACTTGTTATTTAAAATGAAGCTCTTGGTGTGAAATAACTTATCATGGCATGTATTTATATGTATGCTTTATATTTGAAACTCACTTAAATAGTAATATTTACATAAGTTCTCATCGAAGCCTGAATAATTCATAAGACAATTAAGAACTTGCGCTGCCTGCAGTTATTTGGATTGTACTTATGCCGGTAAGGGCACATAAGGGTCCAGACAGAGTGCCAGACAGACAGGCAGACTGGGTATTCTTATTGTTTGCATCGTTATGCCTTGTGTGTATAAGTAGTACTTATTATAGTTGTACTGGTCCCAGTTTATTTGGTTTTTGTTGCTGGCATATGCACGACAGCTGACGAACACTTTGCGACTTTGCCCACAAATTACTGCAGCCCAATTGATCGATTGTCTGCAAGGAGTGAAAGGACTAAGACCGATAGAGACAGAAAATATCTGTGTATGTGTGTGCATGTGTATGAGAAAGATAGGGAGAGTGAGCAATCATGAAGCAGAGAAATGGGTCTGGTGAATTTCTAAAGTGTTGGCAGTGATGGGTAAAGTTACTGAGAGCAAAACATTTTATGATGTAAGGCAGTGAACTGTGGTAAACGATTTGTTGTTGCTGCTGTTGCATGCAGTCGACATACTAAATATATATAAGTACGGGTTATGCACATACACTTACAGATATAGACACACACACACACACACACACAGATACACAGATACACAAAGACATATGCACACACGAATTGAATTAAATTGGATTCGTTGAGTTTGTGTAAACAAAATTTAATGTCTTTTTGCTTTTGAAGTCATTCACTCAAACTCGGATGAAACTCATGCGCATGCCACACACAGCGACCGAGTTGGGTAGACAAAGGCGTAGGCTGCTGATTGGAGGGGTAAAGTGGGGGTGTGGGTGTGGGTGTGGTTGTGGGACGTCGTGATGTTGATATGCCTGACATAAATTTCATCAACTGTCTAGGTTAATGACAGTAAATTTGTTTGAAAATTGCTTTAAAATGGCAAAGGCAACCAAGCAGCGCAAAAACAGACTCGGCCTTTTGCAATGGTGGAATGGGCGCCCATTGGGCTGTTAAGGTACGTACACCCATCCACGCATACATATACACATGCAAAGATAACACACACACACACACACACACACACACACAGGCAGACACA